TTTTTTTTTTTTTTTTTTTTACAATAAGTGGTCAATTATGGCATAAAGTGGCACTTTTTATTGCTTTTTTTATCAGTGGTGTTCTGTGGAACCTCAATTACAGTAACCAGTGACTTACCCTGTATTAACTCTTTGACCCCTAAGAGTAACTAGCTTCTAATTTCTCCCTACAATATCTCCCCTAATTCAAACTTAAAGGTCACGAGAATAAAGGAAATAATTACCTACTAAAGAGGCTTTTGATTGTTAAACAAATTCCCCTGTCAGCACCTAAGGAAATGTATAGAGAACAGTACGGAGAACATGAATACTGATCTTAGGGTGTAAAGGGTTAAGTGGTCACCGTGCCATTTCCCATGGCGACTGCTGGTACATGTAAGTGAAATACTTACTTGATTAATAACCAGTTTGTGACACAGGAAAAGCTCACTGCTTGCCTGGTAAAATTTGAAAAAAGGAAAGTTTTTAAATTTTCTTCTCTACATGCCTAGTTGGTAAGGTAAAATGAGTATTCCAATTCTCTTCACTGGCAGGAAAGAATCCAGCAGCGAAGTTTAAAGGTGCATGAAAAGACAACATACACATCACGCGTCAATGCCAAAACAGCTGCAATGAGGAAAATAGGTGACGACAATGAAGATGACTTTGTTGAAGAGGAGAAAAAGAAAGACAAGGATGGAGTGATTGCAGTCAAAGATGACCCTCAATTTACATTGGCAATTACAAGAGGTAGAATTTTGGTATTTGATCTTAAACAACAATTGCAATGTGGTACCAGCATATCAATAATTTAAATTGACTGACTCAATTCTTTGTCAGCCTTTTGTTACTATAGAAAAAAACAAAAGGTTGGTGTATATTTGCGATTACTGTAGGTTGTGCACTAAACAATATGGATATTCATATGTTACAAACAAGTAAATTACCAGTGATGAGGATGATAATGATGATGATGCTTTCAAATCACTTTCAGATCGCCATGTGGAGAAAGAAAATCTGGCAGATTTCATTTCTAAGAAAAGGGAGATGTTTCTAGTCCAGGTAAATATTAATCCTACAGGGGTGGTACATAATTCTGACCTTGCATCTTATTTTCCATATGGACTAACAAAAGTCATAAGGAGATGTGATTGTTTTCTAATTGAGGATAAAATTTCTATTTGTTGGTGCTTTCCAATTGGGTTACAGTACATTTAAACAACAGGCTTGGAAAGGAGTCTACATGGTGTCTAATGTCCTTGAATCATGGACTAATCTTAATAAGTCCCCAGTGCTAGCCTTTTAAATGGTTTCAGTACTTATAAATCATGGCTGTGTCCTTTTAGTATTCTTTAGGTGTGAAGCGTGATGAAATGAGGAAACTGGAAGAAATTGCCCAGGTTAGTTATCACATTCAAGTCATAATTATTGAAATAACCTTTGACTCCCAGAAGTGATCAACATGAAACTTCTACCCATAATATATTTATTATACCACCCTGCAAACAGGTAATGAGACTGTCCAAACTTATCGCATAGAAGTTGTTATCATGATCTCACACTAAATTCTCCTGACTAATTTTCAAGGAATGTGTTGCAGGTATAAGGGAGAATTAACAATCAGATCCTGGGAGTTTAAGGGTCAAAGAACTTTTTTAAAACCTAGCAATCTTTCCCATTTAAAAGTATCTAAAAAGGAGAGGGAAGGAGATATATTTAGTGCACTGGTCACTAGCTTCAGGTTAATCGAGCCACAGAAATTATCAGTTAATCATTTGAGGTTAATTATCATATTTGATGTACGCACATGTTCAGTTATTAAGTAAAGTTTTCATTCATTGATCTTCATGTGTTTAACTTGACAGGCAGAAGAAAAGAAACTTGAACTTGCCGAGCAGTACCTTGAAGAAGATGCTGCAATGTTTGATGAGTTTTTAAAAGAAAATGACAAAAACTCAGTCGAAGCTATCAAAATGTGAGTACTATTTGTAATAATAATTTACTCGTATAAATAATTTTTATCTTGCTATTCAAACTTTGCTTTGAGGAAGGGCTACCACTCGAAATGTCAGCTTTAGAGACTCAGTCAGTGGTCAATTCACAAATTTACATTATCAACTCAGTTGCTAAAACCAAACTATCTTGTTATGTTCCCCCAGCAATGCAGCTTTCAGCTTTAGAGACTCAGTCAGTGGTCAATTCACAAATTTACATTATCAACTCAGTTGCTAAAACCAAACAATCTTGTTATGTTCCCCTACTAATGTAGCACCACAGTTTCTTTAGAAACATACCTCAGTCATCCTAGTTTATTTGTGTATGACTTGTCAGTCTTCAACTTAGCTTCGAATCAAGAAATTTAATATTAAACACTGTTGTTTTTGGAATTGTCTAATAAAAAGTACTGAATGTAACGCATAATAAAGAATTCCTACATTTCCAGAAATCCAATTTATGTGCTATATGTGTAGATACATTGTACTTTTAAAAGTCTTAATCAATTCAAATCTTATCCACCACTGGTATTTTTCTTAACAGAGCTGAGGCTGAAACAAAGCTTAAACTTGAAAAAGTGGCTGAGATTAAAAAAATAAATGCTCAAATGATGGCAATAAAGAGGTGAGATGACAGTGATATTGGAAATCATTCGTTGAATATACAGTTCATGTATAATTGTAGTAATCCTACAATGCTACAAAATTAACTGTAGTGTCAAAAAAAATTATTGCACTTATTAAGCTACAGTTACTGTTAGTAATATTTAATGTCAACTTTAGTTGGTTTTTAACCTTAATTTTTCAGTGAAATATCTAAAAACGAGGACACTCTCAAAGAGTATATGTTGTACAAACAGTTCCTGGATTCCCTTACTCCACAGGTACATGTTTTTGATACTTGTTATTTTTTATTAATAATTAATTAATCATTAATTCATCTCTGTGATGAGTCTGTGATTGCATTAATTTTGGCTTAATTACATCTGTATAGGAGTGGAAAGATGATAAGAGAAAAGCCAAAGAGGAGAAAAAGGTAAAATTTAAGTGGAAAACTATATAAAGGTATTCCTTTTTTAAATTTTTTTTTAAATTAATTTCCTGGTGTGGTGATCATATTTTATTTATTTTTGTTGTTCTTTCTTCACCTCAGAAGGCAAAACAGAGGGACAAAAGCTCAGTATCAAAAAAGAGAAGTGAGTGTATCTTAGTGGACATTATATAATTATGTATCCTAGATGTGTGTGTATGTTTTGTACAGTATGTTATCAGAAGTGCCAAATTGAGCTCTTGGAGATTGGAAATATTTATATATGTTTATGGTGGCTTCAGGGCAAAGAAAGAAAGCTGGTCGTGAATTGCTATGTCTAGCCCTACTGTAATATGCTTTTGAAATTTCAATCATGTATTCAAAAAAGACCTTTGGCACCTCAAATCTCAAATTTATAGACTCTCAACTTGATCCCAGTTTATTGCACCTTTTGGGAATAAGTTTTCAGTTTGGAGTTGAGTCTTTGAAATTCCGTTTTAGCATAATACAATATGTATACTACATGAATCATGCAGAAGCAAATGATTTACCTCTCCTTAAAAACCTTTTATTTAGTTTCCATAATCAGCTCAGACAGAAACTCCAGTCGTGGTAGCCGTAAAGAAAGTAGGGCCAGCTCTGTAAGTACATGTACATGCTGCTGATATGAACCTTGTAAAGTACCAGATCATCTTATTTAGCTTATGCAAGGGACTCTGTTATTCAAGAGACAGGCTATAATTTGGGTGCAACCCCAGCTGCCAGTTTCACCTGTTTGCTGGCCATTTTTCACCTTTTAGCTCATCTCCTCTGACATACTGGGCCCAGTAAAAAGGCTAATGGCTAATCGAGATTCGATTATTTTCTGTCTACTTGACAATCAATATCTTGCCTGCCAATGACCTGTACACGGATACTTTTGCGATAATTTTGTTCAAGCATTTACACAGTGTATCAATTGATATTAGCCTTATGGTGAATTTAATGATTTAATCCTTTCCCCAACATTGGTAGTCATTTTCTCCATTCCGTTCTCAGTACATTTCTTATACTAAGGTGCTGATAAAAAGATTTGTTTGAAAATCGAGGGCTTCTTTAGTTGGTGATCGTTTCCTTTATTCTTGAGACCCTAACTTGTGATTGCCAGAAAATATTGTAACGAACGATGAAATGCTAGTTCCTCTCTGGGCTCAAAGGGAGAACAAAATAATTCTTCCCACAAATTTGACTCCATACGTATCACAGGGAGTTGAGCCACATCGTAAATTCCCTTTTGACATCGTTCAATCAGCTCAAGGTGTATCTTAACTTTTCTTTTGGTTCAATTAAACAATGTAAATGATTGTATTTGATGCATTTTACCTATACAGAAATTAGCGGGAAGTCCTTTAGTGAAGATGTAAGTGTACAAACAGTGTGTATTTTTATTATTTTTGATTCTACCGTATTCACAACCGCACCAACCACTTGAGCATTTTGTAGACACCATTACGTCGATATCTGTTAAGTTGCATCTAAACGTGCATGTCCGCTTGTTCTTCTGGAAATATTAAAAGATCGTTAGAAAAGGCTAAGTTTTTTGTTCCTTGACTGCTGACTCTTATATCAGCTGCTGTTAAATCGAAAAAAAAAATACATGCAGAACAGGTGTTGTTTCCTTTTTGCGTTTTTTTCCGGGCGAGTGGTGACGCGTGTTAGGGAAGAGACGCGCAATGGCAGGAGTGTGAATCTCGCGCCTCGGGCTTGCCAGCATTTGCCTTCGCTTGCCTTGTAAACGTAAAAAAAATAAAAACACGAAAATTTTTTATGTTTTTTTTCCTACGTTTACAACTGAAGCTCTTTGCTTAGGTAGTAAGAAGGCATTGCGAGAGCGAAGTTACATGTCCAAAATAAAAATTTCCCTCAGTGATCCTTATCAGGGCCTACAACACGAACCCCTCAATGTGCACTCACCACTAGCTTATAATAACACTTAATGTCTTCATTTGGAATATAAAATCTTAACTGTTATGTTTTTTTAATCCATAGGCAAAGGAGTGATGCAGAAGACAGTCCAGCCTCTGTTTACGAAACTGACGAAGAGGAGAGCGATACTGTAAGGGAAATGAACACGGCGCCTTTTTCAACCTCGTGTCTAGGTCTCTCTCTTCTTCTCATCCCCTGGAGCGATTCTTCTCTCTCCCCAGGGGTCGGGATGTAGAGCCTAAGCACGAGGTTGCTACTTTTCATTTTCCCTTTTTATTTCTTGTCTTCGCGAAGCTGTTTTGTCCATGTTGATAGTCTACGATCTGGAAAGTCCTCTCGCTCAATTAGAGCATGGAGGTTTGGTTATTGGAAACTGAGAGAGAATAAAAATTAACAAATAATAGAAGGAGGGAATCCAAGTTATAGAATTTCTTGATGATCAATTATCTTTTGAACTTCTAAAAACACTCTCTAAACCGATGTAAACACTTTTTGAATGACCTTTTTGCTAATGTTTCTTTACTTTTTGTCCAGCAGTTGTGTTGATTACAATTAATTTTATGATTGTCCCTTTTTCATTTGACAGGAGCCAGACTTGTTTTTTGGCGATCCTCAGCAGCTTCTCGACATCTTTGCCGAACTAGAAGAACAAAATTTATCTCTGATTCAGAACAGTCAAGAAACCGAAGAAGCCCTGGAGGAACTTCGACAGACAATTAAACAGACGCAGGAACGAATGTAAGTCCCCTCATTTGGACTTGACGTAGCGTGCAAGTATGCCCTCATGATTAGCGCGGCTGGATGAGCGTTTCTCTGCCCGCAGGAAAATTGGAACGAGTCGGGGAAGAGAGTTACCGGGTGTCTCAGCTGAACCACTTGCAGGCATCACGGCGATTCGCGTTGCTCAAAGCCTCAAATTTTCTCACCAGCGAAGAAACCCTCATACTGATGCGCTAGTAATAAGGACCTGTTCGACCTTTTCCTAGGTTAGACTTGAAGTTGCTTCACAGGGGCAGATTCAGGAATCTTTTTTGTCGTAATTTAATTGATTTTCTTTCTCTTTACAGGAACCGCGAAACAGAAATTCTCAAAGGCCAGATAGACTTTTTGAATGATGCCATAAACAGAGAGGAAGAGAGAGCAAAGGAACTGGAAATGAAATCAAAGTACGGTAGTTTCTTATCTCCGTTATTCCACGTTTCCAGTTTTGCAGAGTCAACATCAATACACTTTAGTTTATTTGCATTTTTGTAAGGGGAAGTTAACCCTCTAACATCCAGAAGTGATTAACATGTAACTGCTTCCTTAAATAACCATACATTATCCAACAAACAGGTAATTAGAATACTCAAAGTTGTTATCTTGACCCAACACCATATTCTCGTAACGATTTTACAAGGAAATGTGCAGCAGCTACAGGGGAGAATATAGGATTTAAAGTGTTGAATGTCTCGATGTTCTAGTTTCCCTTCGTCTCTAATGTACGTTTACTCTTGTTCATAACATTGTTTTTTTTTTCATAATTAAATAAATGTTATTCATCTATTTGATTATTTATTTTTATTTCCTTGCAGAATGTTCTCATATGGAGAATTTAAAGCAGAAGACCAGGTAACACGCCCTCTCTGTTTTGGACCCGTGGAACTGTATTCAGATAATTTTTTGTAAACGTTATACTGTAGGATTTCGTGACAGCGTGAGCTAATAATTGAGGGATTTTTGTGATATGAAGCTGAATCTTGCCTGGCCTGATTACAATTCTCCTTTTCCTTTTTAAGCTTTTTATATTACTCCCTTTTTTCACTGCGTTCTTTTCAGGAAAAAATGCTTCAAACGTTGAACAAGAAAGTCGAAGAGGTTTATCGGAATTGTATAGGAGATAACGAAGCCAACATAAGGTATGCTATGGGTGGTTGTCGGTGTGAAAACTGTTTGCACCTGATAGGTGCTGAATAAATTCTCTTGATGCCCCAACCATTGCAAGCCCTGCGACATAGAATCGAAACAAATAAACAAAGAAACAAGAAGTCTGTTCTCCCATCTTTACCTTTTAAGATGTTCAAGTCAACACGAATCGCCAGGAATGCGATGATTCATTCTTCTGTTAAAGCTGTTCTTCGCTTTAGTTATAGCCTGTTCCAGGCATTCACATAGTAGATGTTGTGCGATGATGGTCTGAGCTTAAAACGAGGGAGGTGTGGGTCGGGTTGCTTAATGTACCCGACCCAAACCTCCTTAGTTTTTTCTCTCCGCCGCCACTATCACGGGGCTTTTTTTCCCGCCCTGTTTTACTAATCGAACGGCGGGAACAGACTACTTCAGTCGCGTTTCCTGGCGCTTGACCGTAACTTTATACGTTGTCACTGTTGGTTATTGATTTGTTCTTGTATTTTGTTATCAGTCTTTGTTTCAAACAAGCTGTGACTTTAGTTGTTGCTTGTTTCTCTGTTTTTTTATTTTTAATTGATCCCTTGACTTGTTTGATCCTATCAGCACCCTTCAGATGCTGACTAATATTGAAAATCGCCTGGAAGAGCTTTTTGAACAAATCGAAGTTATGCCACCGGACCGAGTGGAAATGGCAGAAAAGGTACGAGGCCTGTTTAGAACCACGATTGTAGGCACGCAATAGGGGATAATTTAGCTTTATCAACTGAGTCGATGATGTAAACTGACCATCACAAAGAGTTTCTGAGGCGTTTTGAGCGTTAGGGTTCTAATGAAGGGCTTATGCTTAAAACGTCAGCTTTAGAAACTATTTCCGGTGGCTAATTTACATCATAGTTATCAACTCAGTTGTTTCACCAAAATTTCTCGTAATAATACAGTTTCTGTAGAAACTTACGCCCTTATTTATATGTACGGAATATGATTTGTTTAAAATGAAAACGTGACTCACATGAAGATTTAAAATCGGCATTGTTCTTGATGTAACATTTTCGAAGGCTTTAACTGCAAGCTCTGCTTTGTCATCTTCAAATGCCTTATCTAAATTAAAGGAACTGTCGCTTTTGGTGGAGGTTAGCTGCTCAATATTATTATGAAGATGACTGTTGCTTGCAAAGATCTGTAGAATTGTAGTTATTTTCATTCAACGGCTTCACAATTACCCTCGTTGTAACACAGAAACGGGGGTCTTCAGAGGCAAATGGAGTAAATCCTTGAAGCAGGTATTTGGAGGGGAAGCGACAGTAAAAAGTCTTTAACTTAGACTGAAAATTGCGAGGGTTATGAAAGATCAAAGAGTGATCCGTGTATACTACATGGAACTTTCCCTGACTGTTGCATTGTTCTCTTTTCTGTCATAGGCAAAAGAGAAAGATCGACGCTTACGTCTTCGTGAAGAGAAAATGGAACTACAAAGATTGCATCAAGAGGACCGGGTGAGGAGAGCCCTGGAACGAGCTCAAGCTGAACCGAAGAAAAAGGTGGGCAATACATGCCATGTCACATGACGCTAAAATCTACAGGGCTGTTAATCTTACGTGGAAGCTTGTCATTGGCTTCGCTTAGAAGTTTAGACCCAAGGATAAGAGAATATGGTCTTTTGCCCTATGATATTTCACAAAGGAAGACTACAATTACGAAACCAAAGTAAACACAAGGGCCAATTGTAACAATAGGAAATATCACAGAGCCAGTGAACACTTAATGTAAACACAGATAACGGCCTTAGCGCGGGAAAACGTATGACGGTGTCACAGTTGGTTTTAACTTTTGCATCTGATTGGTTGAAAGTGTGCTGTGGGTTTTCTAGTCTAATCGTAAAGCTCAGTGAAGGAAAAACTATTCAATCCCAAAGTTCTTTAAACTTTTTAAAAATTGCTCTGTTTTGGCTTGTTCTCATTTCAGACTGGTAAACCACTGATGTTCCGCTCAGAACCACCGCAGACGCGAAGAAAGCAGCAGGATGCCGACAAGAAACAAGATAAAGAGGAAGAGGAACTGAAATATTTTTTTACATAAAACTCTCAACAGCTGTAGACTCCTTGAAATTTGTTTCTTGCAAAAAAATAAATTTTTGTTTGTATTGAACCAACTGGAACGCGAAACAAAACAAAGTCACACGAGTTCGAGATAATTTGTCACTGGCTTTGATTTAAATCAACCTTTTGTAAATTGTATATACATGCATGTGAAATGTTTAATAAACAACAAGCAGATTTATGGTCCTATTGCACCATTACAAAATTCCTTCGTTAAATCGTGTGACGTCTGCTGGTATAGGGCTTTCCCATTACCTTGAGCTTACTTTGGGCTTCTATCTTTGGGTCCGTGAAGAACTCATTAACTTGGCGATCGTACTTGATAAATCCCGGTGTGAAACGAGTTGAAAACGCTAAGATTCCCCAATCATGTTGTCCACAAACACGTCTCGAACTGATACATTTCCAAAAACATGCCTTCGAAACACTTTCACGAAAGTAATTCCCAGGAGTGCTCCCAAAAATATAAGTTCTTTTGCGCGCAGCCGATGGGAAACTAGTGCCTTGGAGCTGTCAAACGCTCTAGGTCTTAATTGGTTTTCACGTGACAACTGTAGATTTCCATCATGTTGTCTAACCGCTCGTGTGGCGGGCTGGACTGCTGACCACAGACTAAAGTGAACGCGGTGTTAATTTGAGGAGAGTATTTGAGGTGACCCGGTAAACCATCACCAATGCGCATTGATGTATTATTAAAAAATAGAATACTTGCAAATGAACGCATTCAAACAGAACTCTTCTCCTTTTTTTCGAAATTCGATTATGAAGGCCAGTAAAATAAGTTGGAATATCACGTATGAAAGCACAAAATAATCTCAGAGAAAACAAGTATTATTTACTTCTTTAAGTTTTTTTTGTTATTATATTAAAAAAAAAGAAAATTGAAGCAAAGTATGTTAACGACAGTTACCTCAATACAAATAAAATGACCTATTTAGACAAACTACATGAAACTTTTTTCCTTCTTGAGGAATAGTTGTCATTTCTTTGGGACTAGTTTGTATGCTTTTACAAGTACAGTTAAATTACCAACAATATATTTTTTTTTATTCTACTCAAAAGCTCAAAACTGCAGAACGTACAAATAACAACCATCAGAATGAAGTTTGATCTCCAATTTCTATGAGAAAACGCCAGTTTACAAGTTAACCTTGTAACATCTCTCGCACGTGAGAGGCTTTTCAGTGGATAAAATTTATAGGAAAGTCCTAAATTTACACAGTAATAAATATAATACAAAAAAAGCTGACAGCAAATAGTGCTAAGAGGCTACTCTCTCATCTCTCCATCCTCTTCCTCTTCGTCTACGCCACGAACATAAAGAACATTGTTACACCTACACAAAGAAAATAAACAACAACATAATAGCAATGTATTCACCTTCAGCAAATTATAAGAGGTCCTAAGTTGTTACTCATGATTTCTTTAACCCTTTAGCTCCCACGATCTGATTGTCAATTCTCCCCTCTTGCAACTACACATTACCTTGTTAATTAATTATGAGAATTTGTTGTTCGATCAAGATAACATCTTCTGCCTGATTAGTTAGTGTATTCTTATTAGCTGTAAGTTCGGATGATGTAGGGATACTCTTAGGAGAAGTTACATGTAAATCACTTCTGAGAGTTAAAGAGTTAAATATTTGGGATTGGCATCTAGCAATAATGTGGAAAATTAATAAAAAAAATTTATAAAAAAGGACACAGTAAGAGGAGAATGAACATGATAATTTTTGGACATTCTTAAAAGGATCTATTCCAAAGATAACCTTGTACTGCTAGGAAAAGACAGTGCCACTTCAACCAACATCACATCACATGAGTACAATCTTACGGTAACAACTTACCTAATTAGAACTTCCCCTAAATTGCCTGTCAATGCACCATCTATAAACTCTTCTGTATTAGCAAGCTGTAAAAACAAAAAACACATTTTCACCATTGTATATGATACAAATTACACTACAGTACATGAACATGCAAAAGCATGTGCTTAACCCTTTAACTCCCAGATCAAATTTGTAATTCTTTTCACTGCCAACCATACAATTCTTATCACGTTAGTTCAGAGAATTTAGTATTAGATCAACTAATTATCCACAAATTCATATTTTTCTTTATTCTCGTCACCTAGCTGGTTGATGTTGTATTGAGAATGTAAGGAGAAATTCTGTGTTGGTCACTCATGGGAGTTAAAGGGTTAAAGCAAATTTGCTCACAGCCCATGTAAGTGGAAGCATTAAAGAAGTAGATTATACGTGCTTACAAATCCCTCGAAGTGGTTATTTGCATTATAACAAAGGTGGGACCAACAACAACAACAACAGCATTTATTTAAACACGATAAAAAATTCAGCAAAATGAATGGATGGCATGAATGGCAGTTTGTGTTCTGGACCTCTCAAGAAAGGCATATTGAGGCACCCTGTCTTATTTACATCCAGGTAAGGTCAGGCTTATAGGTAGCAGTATAACATAAAAGAGAGAGACAAATTATAGTGTGTGTCTTACTAGTTAAGGTAATAGTAAAGGAAGGGGAAAGGGAATATTACAAAACTGTATTTATAAACATTTTGATGCTATAGGAAATCATCATGGATTCTGCCAAAACAGCTGAAATAATAATTACTCTTGGTGTTTTGTTTATTTGAAATATCTTTGACTAGAAGTGAGAGTAGCTCACTGTCTTTGACAAAAAGTTTCCTGGTTGCTCATACTTTCAAACATCTTTTCTTTTTTTATCAATTTCTCCTTTGCAGAATTCAGCATCTGTTTCTTTTTGTCAGGCAAGGGCAAAGTGAAACAGTTCAGCTTGTGACTGAAAGGCATGGCTAAACTGTACCAATAGGAAGCTCTGTTCATATGCAAACAGAGTTTCCAAAAGATCAATGGTCTTTAGCAGGCATAATTTATATTTCCCCACCCCTCCACCTCTCCTTCTTAAAGACTGTTACTCACCTCCCCCTAACCCTAACATAACCCCTCCCCCCCCTCTTGCTACAAGCTTCTTTCTGTCCCCAGCTTTTTGGTCCTATAAAATCAAAGCTGGCTGCTAAGCTTTGAAGAAAATACTGAGATTCTCCTGCCAAAATCAAGCCTACCATAAATAAGCATCCACCTAAACATACCGTACTTTCTCCAACCAGCATTCTCTTTTGAGCCCATAAAAACAAGTCAGGTTAGTGAAAAAAAAAAATGATTTCACAGAAGATAAACTTACCTGAACATTCATGTATCCATCCACAGACACAAGGTAACCCTTGTATTCCATCCCCCATTTTAGTTTCACGATAACTGGCTTGCCAGTGAGCCCATTAAGGAAGGGCTTGGGGTTTAAGGGCATAGTCTGAGTAGGTAATTTAATGAAAAATCAGTTCTTTTACAATAAATACTTCGATCGTACAGTCTGATCTTCTGGTGAGAGTTGCTATAGGAAGGACTGTTGTCTGAGATGGCGACTGACAATTCAACGACCACGACTGTCACTTAACACTGATAATAACACAGCCTAAGGTTGCCTGGAAATCAGTCACTAATACCCATAACAAGGACTTCTCTTACAGAGATGATCAAACAATACAATAAAATGTTAATCCTGGGTTCAAACCAATTCTGTGTTGTAATCAATGATGTTCGAACATCATTTTACACCAGATTTAAGTAGATTTGGTATATTTTAATAACAAGTCAAATCGTCAAAGTGATGAGAACAACCAAGTTAATGTAAATTTCTTAGCTTATTCACCATCCCTCTAGATCTCTGTTTTTCTCTATTTGCGTTTTAGTAATTCTTAGGGAATTACGACCTGTAAACTTCAGTTAAGACCACAGGCATTTCACCATAAGGTAGTGAGTGACATATCCATGATGTACATATAAGCACTTAATAATTCGTTATAGCGGTAGTCCTTAAAGTTTTAATGCGAGAGTGAAATCAAGACTGGTTATCTGTTACCACAAGAGTTTAATCTGGTTTAGGTGAATAAACCTTGTGTCCCCACTGTGAAAACCTTCAGTCTAGCCACCTAACACTTAGAAAGAGTAACCACAACGTGGAACAACCTAACTAGGAAGCGATCTAGCCGTGTAATGTGATGTGCTACTTAGCATGCATCTGTATGCTATGTACAGGAAACACCACGAGACTCCCGAGACTATGCCGATTTTAAATCGTGCAGAGTTCGAAATAGCTAATCAGTTCAACGAAAAATAACAAAAATAGCTTACTAACCGCCATGATGGAAGATTTGAGACAACCTGGTGCTGTTAAAAACGACAAAAATAGTGTAGTCAAACTCCAGCAAAAGCCACGCGCTTCTTTTTTCGTTGTCAACGTTGAGAAACGTATCGGTCAGCGGTCAAGACATAGACGAGTGAGGGACTGTGGGTAGTCGGCGCCTGGTTCAAGTCCATGTTCTTTGAATCGGTAATTATTTCACGCTTGGTAAGTATTCTTGTAATCTATTATTAATAATATTGTTATTGTTGTTGTGTTATTGTTATTGCAGAGATCAACAGCTATTGCAGTTAGTTGCAAAGTATCGATCTAAAAGTTATGATATGGCTAATTAAAACTGGCATTCTAAGCTTTTGATCTGCCAATTTTTTTGGCAGAATCTCCTCGATGATTTTTACGTAACTATTTTTTTTTCCGGTTGCTATCTTTTGATTAGTGCAAAACTTTTAAACAATCTTATTGTTAGATTTGGTCACACCATTCGGTTTCATAATCAATCAGTTAAAGCTAATTAAGCTAATTAAGTTTCTGACTCTGTGCCGCACCTATCTTCGAATTCTTACACAAAAAAAAAAAGAATGAAATGTATGGAACCCTCGAGTAGATATGTTCATGATAACGCAGCAAATATCTTTCATGAAGGGAACAATTGTATTATTTCTTATCCAAGTATCGTTCCGTCTCGTTGAATTATCGTCACAGCGACAGGGTTGCGTTAAGATTGGAAATTTCAAAACTTACGCTACAGGTAGGTGTTTTGACTTAACTTATCTCTGTAGAAGAAATATACGATTTCCAAATCGTATTCTTTTTAAATTAAGGCGGTATTCGCAAGCGCCAGGGTCAAACGAGCCAGCACTATCTGATATTTTACGATGCTGCAGGGGAGTTTCCCCCTGATTTATGAGAGGTATGTAGAGAATAAATATCGAGAAATACAAGAAGAAAAAGAAGAAGAAAGAAAAGTAGGCCAAGAAGAGACAAGAACTTCCTGAAAAAAGAAACTGCTTTTTTGGCTTGAGTTATAGAAGTCTTTTGCAAAGTCTCCGACAACCTAAAGAAAGCTTTGCTATGTCCTTTATATGTGCGTTCTAAAGATTGTATTAAAACAAGGAGTAAGCGAAACTAAATAAAAGATTTATTTTGGAGGTGATTGACTTAATGTGTCAGACCCCCGTAACCTTCATTATTAGAGTGATGCCCCGATTACAACAGCAAACCATCATATTTAGTTAAACCAGGTTTAACTGGAAAAAAAAATCAGCACCAGAAAATCGAAGGATTAAACTTAACATAGGGTTTTTATGTAATCTTTGACTTTCATTTTCATTGTGCTAAATTTTAAGTCAACAAACATAGGCTTAGGCAGGTTCTATGGAGGAAAAAAATTTCGGCTTAAAACTTGTTTCGTATAAGTCAGATTTGATGTTACAGTGTACGTTCGCGTCGAGATTGTACGAATGAGGTGAATATCTCCTGGAAGAATATGAAGCTTTGATGCCTTAATCGTCAGCTGGCCCCCTAATGGCGACATCCGATCGAAACTGATCACATCATTAACAGCATTACTCAAAACAAACTTTTTCAAATTGGAACAGGCAGCTGTTTCGGTGCGCGTAGAAAATTCGCGTGAAAACTGTCAGTTCGAAAGAGAGAGAGGGAGATCTTTTGCCTTCAGTGTGAGTGTGAACGGAATCCTGGATACATGCTAAAAAATTGCCGAAAGAGTTGTAAAACTTGTTTAGGTAAGCGTGCATGCGAATAATCATTGCGTTTTAAAAATGATTAAAAAAAAACATGGTCGAGAAAACAGGAATTGAAGAATAATTTTGCTGAACGTCTTTCGATTTGGCGTTCAGCTTCGTCAGCCGACTTTATGAATAAAAAAAATTAAAACTGTTTGAGTTTAGGACAACCTGGAGATGCATACATAATTGATTCTAACCGTCACCTACACATATAAATAAAAACCGATGGCATATAGATAGAAATAGCCGGTTATTGACATGACGTCCAACACAAAACTGCGGTTTTTACGCAAGCAGTGGGCCTCAGAGATTCTTTATAAGAGGACTGATTTAATGAGATAAAATTTCCTTCCACTACGAGCTCTCGGCTCTCTTGACACTGTTCACAAAAAGAAATGTTCAGATGGAAGGTTCGGCTAAATTGAAGATGGCATAGAACGCGGTTTTGTTAAAAAACGGCTAAACTTTGTTTACATAGCCGGATTTAAATAATAAGTTGATGCGGTTACGTTGTTGATACAGTGGGGGCTTATCAAGGGCCGCTTGATGTGCATATATTCCTTGAGTTTAAGGCAAAATTTGAGTTTATTTTTCCTCCAGCTGAAGCTGATTACCTCAAACATCACAAAATCTAATGACGTTCAATTTTTGTGAAACTTCTCTTTACACAAAACCACGATGGTAACGGCCATGAGGACATCGCAAAGCAAAAAAATCTATACTAGGCAGAACAATAGTCAGAATATGCGTTTTAAAACTTTCTTTATTTTTTAGCCATCCTCTGCAAACAGCAACGTGAAATCACCAAAATTTGCGTCGTCTGAGAACTGAAACTGCTTCGGAAAATTGTTTTTATTTCCATTCGGAGCTCTATGCTGCTTATATACGTTATGCTAAAGTCGAGGTGGGGCGCCGTAAGAGACACTAAACACATGCGACCATTTTCGAAATTCTAACTTAAAATACGACATTCATTTTTTACTCGAAGTCTTCCATGGCATTACCGTCCTAACTGCTTTAGGTCCCTAAAAGCTAAAAAGTCTGAGAACGGGAGGATTTCTGCTTTCGATATTGCTGATCACAGCAGTATGCAGGACATACGTTACATATGAATTTGACGTGATAGGCTCAATTTCCGCCCCTGTCCTGTCGTCGCTCGAGCGCGGGCCCACATTTCCGAACAGCGGCTTGTAATCAAGCCTAGCCATAGCGTAGCTCACCTTAGAGTCACTAGTTGTGGCTCATTGATTTTGTTAAAGCGTCCGTGTTCGTGATTCCTCGCTGTCCGTGATTCCTCGCTGGGGTTTTGGGACTCTTTTTTCGTTGTCCTACGCAACCACGCTCGAAAGAACATCTCTCCCTGTTTGAGCTCAAAGCTTACCATCCTCATTCTCTTCATGCGCATGACGCTCTCGACACTTCTTATCCCAGTAGTATGCGGGACGCGTGTCACATGAAAACCTGTTATGGCCCAGCTAACTTACCATTCAAGAATCTGTGACTCAGTGATTGAGCATCATTACCAAGCTCTCAATTTACCAAGTTTCTTATTTCATTTAGATTCTGTTCTTGTTGGTCACGTCATTTCCAGCTTCCAGGTCTCCTCTCGTTTTGACTGTGCGTTTGAGTGTCTGAAGAATGAGCTGTGCATCTCATACAACTACCAAGAGGAAAATCAAGCACTTCACGGATGTGAATTAAACAATCAAGATAAGGGAAATAAACCAGATAATTTTACAAACAAGGAGGGATTTTCTTACTATGAAAAAAGAGTGAGTAATCTGAATTTGAAGAATTTGTAAAAGAATTTGTATGTCTCTTTTAATGAATGTCTTTGATGTGGACAAGGTCAGCTCATAGTCAATATCTCGTGAATGTTTATGTCACTAACTGAATATATATATATATTTATATTTAAATATCTTATTTTTCATTTATTTTTATTTATATTTATTTATTTTCTTTTATTTTTAAAATTTTTTTAAATACTATCAGATCTCTTTACATTTAGATGACAATTTTGTACTATTTTTGTACAATTAGAATTTTCTCTAACTACAACTAGATTTTATTTTTTTGTACATATTTTAAATCCATATATTTCCCTATTTCCCTTGACATAACATAACATAACAAAACATAACAATGTAACATAACATGACATAACATAACATAACATTACATAACATAACAATATAACATAACATAACATAACATAACATAACATAACATAGCATAACATAACACAACATAACATAACGACATAAAATAACATAACAATCATTATGATTTCAACTTACATATTTCTTTTTCCAATGACGTTAAACGAATTAATATCTTGTTCTACCTTCTTTTGGAACCCCTTACCAACGAATAAAATCATGTATGAGGAATTTCGAGGAATATTTCAATCGTCTTTAAGGAATTTCCTTGGTGTCCTTGAGAGGGACATCCCCTCAGCGTTCTTTAAGTGAGATAAACAGGCGTTAAGTGGTTGGACGATAGTTACTGTACTTTAATAAATTATAGCATAAACGATAGTGAGAGTCCCATATGTGAAGATGTTGCAAATAAAAATTAAAACCACTAACTCTTGACTTTCGTATGTCGTACAGAAAAAAAAGTTAGAAATCTAGAGATTCTCTACAAGGAGAAGAAAGCTATCAAGCAAAAATGTGTCAGAAAATCAATTTATTGTGGTCTTTTTCCTGATAAAGCTTAAAACCTCAGTGAATTTGTTAAAAAAAAAAACTTTCAAAGTACAAACTTTTAAAATCTAAAAAATTGGATCAAATAACTCCTTAATCTTATTCCTATTTGTTGCATTGGACCCAACGATTTTTTAGGGTTCTGTTGTATGCCAGTCTTCACCTTGTCTGAATGATGGGACATGCGTGGACTCCTGTTCAAAAGAGGCTGAGTACCGGTGCATCTGTATTGACGGCAGAGTCGGAGAAAACTGCCAGAGTTGGAGCGGTAAGTAAACAAAGGAAGCCAGGTTGGGGAGGGAAAGGAGGGGTGACGGAGTCCGAAAATACTGACAGGGGAGGGGCGAATGCCCTGTTTCTTCCATAACTTATGGCAAAGAACTTCTCAATTGATCACCAACTGAGTAGAGGAATTAACAGTCTATGAGATCAAATTTCCGCAGGCAAGACACACAAAGTGCCGTCAATTATCGAATTCAACCGAAACATAAATAGTCACGGCATACATGAATAATTTTAAATAGAATGGAGATACACAAGACATGCACCAGACAATACCTGTAATAAATCTTAAATTAAGAGAAATGGCAGTAACTCGTAATATGCGCGTGCCACAGCAACTAAAAAGGTTCCATCGGAATCTTAAAAAGTTTCCA